GGGGGGGGGGAGTAATCTTTAGGCCTAAAATGTGCATTTTAATGTGCATTTTAACATGTGTGCAAAAAAATCCAGCAAAAATGGTTCTGGCAGTGAAAGAGTTGACACCCATTAATGCTCAACACTAGGACATAGAGGTCTGAATTGGGCCTTAAGTATATGTAAAGCCCACATTTTGGAATTGTTCAGTTTTGGGGTTTTTTGTTTGTGTTCCTAGAGGCACAACAAAAGATGAGGAAAAATCTCTCCAAAAGGAAAATACATCTTATTTGTCAACTGACAGGTGCTCCTTTTAATTTTTGCCTAGAGATAGGCTTTAATGTAATTGTTATTTCATATGGAGCATATTTTCTCATATCTTTTTAACCCCATCAGATATGGGGAGTTTTAAGGTGACCACACAAAACAATCAGTAGTTCCAGAGGTATAGGTAGCTGAATCTTGTACTTCTTACCATTTCCTTTTAGAGCATGCTGTCATAGCCTCTCTGTTGGCTATTTCATTAAAGTACACCCTAATGCTCCTGTGTGATAGTTTAAATAGGTGCCAAAGCTAGTTAATGTGTGATGCAAGAGCCTCATAAAATAAAAACAAAATACTACCTTCACTACTCCCTGAGTAAGCCAAATCATCTGTCATTTGCATCTCAAACAGTCTAGCTCACATTGAGAGTATTTCACCATCAGAGGCAGTGCTGTCAGTCCAGAAATCAGAGGGCAGGACTACATGAGGGTGACACGCTGCTTGGAATTCAGGTGCAATGCCGCAGCTTTGTCATCCTATCAGTGGACTTTGCTGGCAGGATCAATAAATATTTGAGACTTTGCCAGGAAAACTGAAAGTGCTGATGCACTTGCAGTTAAGTTTTGTAGCACATTTTATTAAGGGGAGGCCAAAGTTCTACTTTAAAACAGCTGTCCTCTAACTACGGCCAAGCCAGCGGTTTGCTATTTACTGCTTACTGGCTGCACACCATTGCTGCTTCATGCAGAGTGCAAAGTACTTAAGCTGGCAATATCGGATAGTCATTTTCTTCCCGGTGGTGTCTCAATAATCTTTCCATGATGTCACCTCAGCCAGTAGAGGAGC